TTATTATAAATTAATTTTTTATTCATGAATCTAACAAGCATATTATATTATTTTATATAAACTTTTATGCATTAGAGCATTCAACGTTTCACAGCACAAAAGACCTCATTGTCATTTGTTTACGTTTGATTTTTGTTTATTTTGAGTTGCCTTTGCCATTGTTGTTTCTTCTGTTGTTGTTGCCTTTGTTGTTTGTTTGTGTGTGTGTTTCACTGGTACTTTGGCATTTTTGGTTTATTTATCCGAGTTGATTGCTTTGTTTTCGTACAATTTTCGCATTTGCCGCATGCCGCATGCTGCGTGTTGCCTTTTACCAATTCGAGTCACAGCTCTGTTTACCACCGGCGATACTTCACCATCCCCTCCACCACTTACAAGCATATGTACCTTGTACACCTGCAACATTGACCGCTCCGATCTGATGTGATGCCACCAAAAGGCGGCACAACATGCTCGCAATCATCATCAGCTGGCAAGCACTTGGCCAAAATACTTGGTACTCGGGCACTCGGTGGGTTAACTGAAGGCCAGAGCATTGCGGCAGGCCGGAGAGGTAGCAACAGGGTCAGGCAAACTTTCCACCAAAGTGGTTTGTATTAAGTCAATTAAAAAGTTTATACTACTGCTGACTGCTGCTGACTTTTGATGGCCCCTGCCACAGCCCCTGCCACAGCCCACCCTCACTCACTTGTATTCCCATGCCTCCGGGTGCGTCCAAGGCCCTGGTTATGGCTACAGCTTTGGCTTCGACTACAGCTCTGACTATGGCTCCTTAGCATATTTCACAAATTTTCAACAGCAACAACTGCTGCGGCAGTCGGCATTCATTTGACTATAGCTCAAACTCAGCTAAAATTTTGTTGTTGCTGCTATTGTTATTGTTGTTGTTGTTGTTGCTGTTGCTGTTGTTCTGCCCAGTGTTTTGTGGTTCAACTCAAGTTGGTCGTTGTTGTTGCTGGTTGCTGGTTTCTGGTGACGGATACTTTGTTTTCTACTCTGTGTGCGTATACATCTGTGTGTATATCTGTGTGTATCTCTGTGTATGTGTGTGTGTGTATCAACGAAATAAACCAAATTATTCTTGCTTTCATCAAAAAAGTTTGTCCTGTGCAATTATTTGTAAAGATTAATTAACACTTTGAACAAATATTTAGAGACTGCTGGCTGCCTGATAATTACCTAAGTGCTTCGACGCTGGTGTACTCTACCAACTAACACCTCAGCTGACCCACAGCCAACCGAGCAAACAACCAGCTGCCGGTTATAGTAGAGGCAAACTGTCTTTGATTCCAATTCGACCATTAGATAAATGCCGTTAACTGCGTGTTAAGCAAATACCAATTTCGGTCATTGAGGCTAAAGTTTTGAAATTGTGTATAGGAATTATGGGATTTCACAAAATATTAGAGACATTAGAAGCATGTGATGTGGACATCAGGTAGGCGTTAGTCGAGAACGTTGTTGAAGTAGTTGACTAACTTCAATTGCTTTCAAATCATAAGTTATCTACAATGAATAATTGACTGCCTGAATGATTGATGAGCAGAAGTAGCATAGCTTAAGTCTACCTTTTTACTGTTATTACACTTAATAAAACACTACATATATATATTTACTACATATATATATTTACTTTTCCTACAACATAGTTGGGTCAGCTTTAAAACCAATTTCTCAGCTCTCGGCCAAAACAAATCTAACCAACTCATTTGCTTGCTTCACAGTGCTGCCTAAATTTGATCCATTGATCTCGGGTGTTCGACGGACATATAAATATCGCGATACGCTGGTGGCCAATTGCAGCTCGGAGTGGTCGAGTCCGGCGGCGCGGCTTACATGGTATATCAACAACAAAACTGTAAGTATACAATTTTAACGCATTACTCATACGCACCGTTGCACGCTAGCCAAATCGAAATGCACACTAGATAGCTATGGACACGGCCCAAAAACTGGTTACCACATTGGCCGTGTTGCATGCCCAAAAATTACTTGCGGCATGTGGCAATGTCAGTGCAATTTCCACACTGACACTGATTATGCGAGACTCGCTTTTGAACAGAACTCGGCCCCAATATTTCGGTCTCGTTTCGGTTCGTGCCTCGAACACCCTGAAGCTATTGAGTGTCGAAAAAACAAGTGGTATCCATGTAATGGGCAGAATGAGGCGTGGCTGGGCTGCTAGATGATTCGACTAGGAGTAGTGAGATGTCTGTCCGGCTTTTTAAGTATGTGTTCTAGGGGTCTATCTGGTATACAACAGAAGTTACAGAGTTCCGATTTTTGATTCATACTCTTATCTGCTGTACACAGAACTAAATACTATGGTCTTTTAACATTTTTTTCGATTTTCGATATATATCGATAACAGATTTGTAAGTGAATAAAGCATTTCTAATAGAATTTGAACACCTTCGTAACTAGAGACTACGTATCAAGGTACAGCAACAACGTACAAGGCTCTTATATATTGCATCCGATTTTCGATATATCGATAAAACAAAATATATATAAATTAATACAGAGCAAATAATTTTACTTTAGTTTTTTTACGTGAGTTAACGTTAACGAAATTAGAAGTGGATATAGCATTACAGATAGCACTTGAAAAATAGAGAGATGAAATTTTAACTCTTTTTTTAGATACGCTCATACACACACAAGTTGTTTTTTTTTTTTTAGATCTCATTCGATTTTCCCTAAATCTATATTCAACTTATAAGTTAATTATTAATAAGAAATTCAGCTATAACTTTTCTATTATACTCTTGAGCGTACATCAACTCAAGTACAGGTTTTTTATTTCTCAAACTTTTATATCGATAACGCATTTCTAAGCTAATGCAGTATTTCAGGTACAATTTTGAAACTTTTGCGCACTACAAGGCTTTTAGTTAGTCTTAACTTAACTTGGCTCAACTTCTACTCAAAAGACTAAAATAAAATGTCTTTAACTATGAAGAGTCTTGGTGTATTGAGTACACACATTGTTTACTAAAATCGAATAGCTTCTGTGAGAAGAGGAAGCAGCATAGCCCCTTTTCTGGCACCATCTGAAATTGAGTTCCGGCTATTTAGCAAGCCGGCCAGTGCCAACTGGAGCACTCACTAACCTATTCCCATTTTGTGACAGGCACCACAGATGCAGCTGCAGCCGCAAATCAATGAAGTCATCCACAACACCGAGGGCTTTCCGCTCTATGCGAGCAAGCTGCAGCTGCGCCTGCATATCGATGACCAGCGCTTCATTGGCAAGAGCGAAATGCTGGAGCTGCGCTGCGTGGCCGATATACTGGGCGTGGCCAGCCTGCGGCGTGAGAGCTGGCTGCGCACAACCATAATGGCGCTGAGGGACAGCGGCGTCAATCAGCGGCGGGCTGAGAACGGCACCTGTGCCAGTGCCCGAGCAGGTGAGTGAGACAGCGAGAGTGCGTTGCTTGTAATCGAATTATACTGCTCTTACAGCCACATTTGCTGTCTGGCTGCTGTGCCTGACGTCCCTGCTGCGCTGGCACTGCACTCTGAGTTAGTGGCTGTATCTGTGGGCCGCGTTTCTTTTAGCCTGATTTTATTAGCTGTATTTGTTGTTTTGATTACATTAAACGAACGTAATTTAAGTCCAGTCAAGGCGATAAATCGGATGAGGGCGGCTTTTTTAAAGCGCCCCAACTACGCCAAGTCGAAAAGAATGAAAAGTTAACAAGGCAACTGTTGAATTTGTATATATATTGAAATATGTATATGCGTACATATATATATATTAACTATATGGTAATTGCAWAGCTAAGCAATTTTTCTCGATGTAATGCCACACACTCACACATGCACACTAAATGGAATCTATAACAAATAAAATGGATAAAATCTAACAAATACAATTTGATATAGTTGGCTAAAACGAAAGCAAGCACTACATATGTATGTATGTAAATCTAATATAAAATTATAATTAATAATGAATATGGAATGCACATACGTTCAGTACATAATAGAAACATACATGTATAGATGCATATGTATGTATGTATATGTGTATGTGTATATGTATTTGCACACAGCGAGAAATGAAACACAATCAACTGCAACTAAAAGTAAACATAATTATTAAATGTGAAATGTTAATGTATTTGTATTAAACGATGTACGAAATAAAAATAAAAAAGCGAAAATAAAAATAAAATAAAAACAACGATGAAAAAATATGGAAACACAAAAGCAAACCAAATCAATTTTAAATCAACAATTTTAATTTTGAAGCAATTAAATTAAACGAGCTAATATTTGTTTTTATTTGCCAATTATCTACAGCATTAGCACTAGTCGAACACTTTTGGGAAGAATACTGGTTTCAGTTGGCCCAAAAGGCGAAGCTTTCAGCTGCCATTCTAGCTGGAAACCAATTTTTGACGATATCAAAACATTTGATTACAAATAATGAGGTAAACAAAATTAATAAACCCACTCGACCCCGGATTTATAATGAAAACTTGTTAGTTTTAATTATTTGCATACTCAAGCTGAGACTTTAATAATTTAATAAGACAGCCGAATCATCTTGTTAAATATGGTGCTGACAATCATAATAAGCAAAGGCGCTACTTTCGGGTGTTACTGACTGCATAATACTCGCTCATGGTACAAAATTAGATAAATAATTTTTGTAAGGAATCTGGACTTCACGGTATGTTGGAGCATGCATAATCTACAGAGCAACTCAAAAGTTAAATAGTCATAAGATCTCTAAAATTTCTAATTGTAGTTTTTCCTATTTCCTATTTTTCAATCCTTAGAAGTTTATCAGATGAACGTACTGAGGATTTCATTTCAGCTGAAAGCTAATATACTCATTTCACTTCATGAGTGAGTATAGCAAGTAAAGCACCTCATTTAATGAGTTCTGTGTAAATGAAGCGAAATCAAATGGCACATAAAATACTTAAACTTAATCGTTAAATATCCAATACCCTTATTAACGTTCCAAATATTTAATTTTTTTTTTTTTTTTTTTTTTTTTT